AATGACTTTTTATGATTAAATGACCAGTCATATAACCAGTAGTCATAAAATCATAAAAACTAAAATACCAACACTGACCCAGCATGAATGCCGAATTATTGTATCCAAAAATCTGATCAAAATTATCGTTAACTTACTACGCCTAAATTTTGATATCACGTGACCAGGCTCTAATCTTTTTCTTTTCCATCATTTTTTCGCAACTTTTAAGTGATATTTGAGGAATATTTGAGTGGCATTTGGGGTTTGAGTTAGTGGATCAGTTGGTTAGAGAATTGGAAGTGTCAACTTTGTATCTCTTTTTGATATACCTCTATATTACGCAAAGGCTAATAACATATCTGAGTACATACTAGTGTTAGGTTATTCTTCTTCTAATATTTTATATAATAATTACGGAGAAGAATATCCTAGATTGTACCTATCAAGAATGCATTTATTCCTGATCTTTTGCCAACTGTGCTATATGCCTCTTTTTTTGCAACTATCGAAAAAAATAAATTAAACATTTCTGAATTTTATAGAGATAATATATCTTTTCATACTAATAACATGTATATCTCAACTATTTTCGACCAAACTGATTGCACTAGAACTAACCTTCTCATCCGTTATGACGATGCCGAACCCGATGAATATCTAAGTGACTCAAATAGTTGTACTGATAATGAATCTGACTTAGGGTCAGATGATTATAATAACCATGAGTTCAATTGTGAATCAGATAGTGAAGAAACCACCTGTGCTTCTACCAGCATTACCATGACTCTATCATTTCAATTATCAAATGTATAAGAGCAAAAGATTAATGTGATATATACTTTAAGGCAGAAAAAGTTTAATGATAATTTTTCTTCCAAGGATTTGTTAAATACAATTCAAGAAATTTTCCTATCACAACTTAGAGATATGTCAGATGAAAAGGGTTCATTAGAATATCTCCCAATATATTCATTCCTCTTTCTGAATGAAAAAGGGTCTAGTTTATATAATGCTTATGATTGTGTTGAAGTGGAAAATAAATTGGTTATTAAAATTGATCAAGACGATTGAGTCCCAAAGTTTTCTATTGCAGATGATATTTCTGAAGTATATAGTTTACCCAGGATTCATGAATGCATTAATGGTCAAAAGCCTTTAAGAGTCATGATTGATATAGATATCTCGCAGGTAGATATGGAAACATCTGGTATTAAGGCACAAGAAGTATTCATTTGAATCTGCCTATCTTTCATAAGAGCCTTGTATCGAATTTTCAACTGTAGTTAGAAAAACATTCTCAATGGGTTAGTTATTGCTACATCTTCAGATTCTAGCAAGTGTAGTTACCATATTTTATACACACCGGCTCTTCTTACTGATCATTACAAACTCAAAGCATTTACTAAATTAGTATATACCATAACCGGTGAAAAATTTGGTAAGTATATTGATCGAGGGTTGCCTGGTCAGAATTTTAACTTTTGCCTAATTGGTTCAGCAAAAAGAGGTCATATAAAACGCATCCTTCAGTTTTCATTAGATAATGGCTGGAATGAATTATGGCTTGATGAAATAGTATCTATAATTGCTCAAGCATAAAGTCATCTGGCGGGTCAATCGATAGAAAAGTTATATAAATTAATTCAAGAAGCAAAGCGTATTATTGTTATGGATAATGACCTAACTAACCTCAACATTAAATGGATTAAGGCCCTTCATAAGAATATACCTCTCTCTATTATCCATAATACTTACCAGCCTCAGAAAGGTAAGACATTCTGCTTGGCTTCTAATAAAGAAATTGTATTAACCGAACTTTGGAATTGGGCTAAGCAAATGTCTTTATTATTTTTTGAGAATCGAACCAGTGCATCACTCATCTGCCACCTCAGAAAGGATATGCAAGGAATTATTCATGCACTTAAGACTGATTTTCCAGAATTACAGATCAAGGAATATCATGGCAAATCTGATCCAGTAGAAAAGGCTACTGACTTCAGTAATGTAAAAGAATCATAGAAAGACGTAGACCTAATTGCCTATACTAGCACTCTAAAAATAGAAGTATCTTACATTAATCCTAAATTCAAACGGGCATTTTGCATCTTTAACAGTTATATAGAATGAATGCTAGGACGAATCAGATGTTATTCTGCATGCGGTGTATTAGGGATTATGTGTATTGTATTGAGCAAAGATCATCTAATATTTCTATCACAGAAAAGGGATTATTTCAAAAGTTACTGAATGCCAAACACAAATGTCTCCCCTGTGAACTTCAGAATAGAGGAATTTTTCCAGATATAGATTCTATTATCTGGAATAAAGACATGCCAACTATTCAATTGTGGGTAGCATATATGTTAGAAAAATTCCATTTTCAGTGCTTATTTGTTGGAGGATGATCAATTTTCTCCAAAAGGCGGGTATGATCATTTCCATTATAGAACCTATTCCTAAATACAAAAATGTTACATCATTATCTTAAATTGTGAAGGTGAATTCTGTTACTGTTAAAGCGAAGGAGATATCAGCAATAACTAATGCTACTATTGTTAATTGTAAGACTGCTGAATTTTTGAAAAACAAGCTGAAGAAGGCTTTAGAAGAGATACGCTCTTTAGACTGACATTATATTGCAGATTGTTATAAGATTTCGCCTGAATCATTGATTGAAAAGTTTATATCAAAGTATGGAAATTATAATCATATGAAATAGTTCAGAGCTTATAGGCAGTTACGAGATACTGGCACTGACAGCGGAATGGTTATTGAGGCTATCACTCGCAAATATTACAGAAAAAATAGGCTTACAACTATAACCTAAGCTGAGAAGCATCGAATTTGCTTAGAATTACTAAGGATCTATACACCTGCTAAAGATATTGACGATAGGACACGATATAAAACTAATGATGTTAAAGCACATATGGATTCTCCTGAATCAATATCATATTTTCAGGGTTTAGTGCCTAAAATAGCTTGAGTATTTGATAATACAGATGCATCACGCAATGCTAAAAAATCAGGATTAAAAACAATTCGAGTGAAACTTGGACTACTAAATTCAACTTTATACATAACATATAGGTTGAAGTTCAAAGCTATCAATAATAAATACTCGTATTATCACTTAGTTGGTTCTTTTGATAGTGAGAATTCTCCTAAATTACCTTCGTATCAATCAGGAGAGGAGGTGTATTTGGATAATTGAAAAGATATCTGATATGCTTATAGTAAACTTACTTCCAATGAATTGTTAATAAATACGTCTCTTGATTCTAGCAAAATGAATAACGAAAAAATCGCAGATTATATTCAGAATTTATTTGATATATGCTAATATTATTCGAATACAGATCTATTATAAAGTAATATTATTTATACTATCTGTTAGATAGAGTTACCAAAGGAAGTAAATCTCATCTCAGATATATGTTATTAGTTTACACGATAGTTAAGAGACCCAGAGATAAAGGCTGAATTGTCTGAGGAATTTTTTTACCAACACTGTTGTTAGGGTATTCTTCACCCATTATTTTATATAATATTTCTGAAGAAGAATACCCTAACTATATCTATCAAAAATATGTTATCTAATCCAAAGTTTACTAATAGATATCTCTCTTCTCAGCAGATAATTCAGAGGTCTTTTCAGATTGAAGGACCTCAACCAAATAAATCTAACCCATCTGATAATTCTTCCTCATCTGTTAATTCATAGGTCTTTGCAGGCCTACGAGAGCATTTCTCAATTGAAAATTCATAGGTCTCTGTAGGTTGAATGATCTTATCTAATAATTCAGAGGTCTTTGCAAATATACGAGAGCATCCCTCAATTGAAAATTTATAGGTCTCTGTGGGTTTAAGGCTCTCATCCGATAATTTAGAGGTCTTTGCAAGTTAAAGAACCTTAGCCTTATATTTCTGCCTCATCTGGTAATCGTGTATATATAACTTAGCAGAGTGTTCAGAACAGTACCCTGAATCATTGGGAGTAGGGAATTTACATGTAATGCAAGATTTTTTTTTCTTATTTTTTACATACAATTTCTAGTGCCTATAATACCTAATAATATCACAGCACTTATTCCCACAAACAGTGCCGTCCCTCTTAATATGTGCGCAAGTAAAATGAGCTATGAAAGTATTTTAGGATATAGAACCCTCTTTCACTTTTAATATCATAATAAAATATGTATTTAAATTAATCAGTATTATAATGAGATAAATTATCTTTCATACTAACGCTATGGATATATTAGATCAACAGATAGAGTGCAAGCCCGGGAATAAAGCTCACGAAAAAATATATAACCCCAAATCTAATTATATAATAACTATAAATAGGTCAGTATATTGTAAAATGGTACTCAAAGCCTATATGCATTGGAGAGAAGAAAGGCTTTTAATTCCGCCTTTGCATGTATTGCTAATATTAAGAAGATATCTTTCTTTATTTCCTACTGTATTTGGAGTATCGTAACAGAAAGAAGTTTACTAGCAGTGGTTAATGAAAAAATAAGCCTATTGCAAATTTTACTCAAAGCTAATTGGCATAATTTCACTTTATGTCAACTATTAAAATTATGCTGGGAGCGTAAAGAGACAAAAGTTTGAAGGAATGACGTACTCATGAAATTCCTCCATCATCTGAATCTAACTCCTTCGAAATATAGACCAAGTGCTTTATATGATGTATTTACCAAGACAAATGTTTTAGGACTGGAACAAATATTAGCTCTAATACAAGCGTTTTACTAAATATGATTATAATACAAATTTATTCATAGCTTTGAAATGGGAGTTCTATGACTATGTATTTTTTTTCACATATCCTATCTACCCACAATTTTTAAATATATATAAAAGATATCACAGCTAGAGCTCATGGCCTCATAGAGAACCCGCAATAAGTTATAATAATCTTTTTGTCTACTGACCATGGTGTAGTGAATTGTCAGAATAAAAATTTCAAATTGAACTTTTTTGTACATAATATAAAATTAGTACGTTTTTATATTCTTGACTATACTATCATAAAACAATATGGCAAAAGTAGCTACAGATTTCATGAAACACCATAACTAGACCTCCGAAACTCCATCATCTGAACTAGCTAAATACACAAAGGAAATTAACAAAAGTTTAAAGGATGATTGCAAGGTAAGATTTAATACCAAAATGCGTTTTTGACAATTAGGGAATACTAAGGAACAAGTAGAAGTTCTCATTCCTATTTGACCTACTGGAAAGCGTGAAAAAGGCAGGGATACTATTGATAAAATTGCTCAAGAAATTGTAAATAATGATTATTCATCTAAGAAAATAAAACGAATTTCATATTATTTGAGTAGTTCCATACCTAATTCAGTCGCAGGAAGTTCACAGCTTACTTTATTGCGAAAAAAGTTATGGGATTGTGAAGCTGATCCTCTTAAAAAAGAAGCAACCAAAATTCCTCATATTACTACTAAATCAAATGAAATTCAGGCACGACGGCTTGTACTTGACAAATTTGAAGGGGTCGATTGGCCTGAATACTTCTTCTTAGAACCAGTTCAGGAAAGACTCGAGAAATGTGATTTCTCTTTATTACCTTCTAAGGAAGATCTGGTTGATATAATGATAATATTAAGCATGCGACTGGCAGATGTGGCAACTCTTCGTATTGATAAATATAAAGTATCAGATGAAATCTAATATGACCCTAAAGTTTCCTGGTATTGTATTAGCTATTCTAAAACTAAAGAACAAACAGGAGTAGGGGAACCTCGGTCTTTTCTCTCAATGGAAAAGGATCCAATACAAGCAAATGAGTTTCTTGCCTGGATTCAGAAAACAATACTAGAAAAATTCACCTTCTTACGAAAAAACAAAAGCGGTATAATTAATGTAAATCCAATTAATCTAACTTTAGTTCAACATGGGATAACTTTGAGTAAATTGAGAAAGATAGGTGCAGATCATGCTAGCAGGATTCATGAAGGTAAAAACGATTCTCACTGCCAATATTTATAAAAGTTGGCTTGCAGACAAGTAGTAAGTCGCTACGAATCAGTAGAAAGATACAGTGTAATGAACGACCCACCTTGTAATTGTTTGAAAGGATCACAGAGTAGTGTTCCTGAGCAATCCACAAACAGACATGAAGAAGTGGGAAGTGAGTGCCTACAGATCGAAACACTATTCCAGAGAGATCAGACAAAGATAAAAGAAAAAATAGATTAACCTCACCAATATAGCAATGATGATCTATTTGCATCTGACCGATCAGGCACAAGCATTCAAACTCTTCGATGAAGACTAATCATATAGATGGAAGGTCTTCTAGGACTGGTTAGATATCATTTATTAATTTTATTTTTTTTCGCCTAAGGCCAGTGTTGGTATTTTAGTTTTTATGATTTTATGACTACTGGTTATATGACTGGTCATTTAATCATAAAAAGTCATTT